TAATTATAAAATTTTGGAGGCGTTTTGCGGGCGTTTGGATTGTTTATGGCGTTGTTTACTAGCAATTATAACAATGGAGTTGCATAGTCGAAGGTGACGATATGACATTTGTTCCTTGTTCTGTTGCTATGCAATCGGCAATTTGTGCCACATGCATGATTTTCAGCTGTTGAGTAGCGTCCTTTGTCATTTCAAACAAAGGGCGCCTTGCAGTCTATTATCTATACTAAGTGACTGGCGAGTGAAGAAAACCTATTGTTTTTCCTCAAGTTCTCGTGGGAAAAACTGGAAGGTCAAAGTTACGAAAACAACACCGGAAACTTGCATGGAAAATAAAACGTTTTCGGACAGCAATAGTAAAGGTTTTAATATTGAAAGTAACTAAAGATTTACCATTTAAAGTTTTGCCTTTTGACTAAGAAATCTTGTGAGGAACTCCTTTGAAGTATGAATTAAAAACACGATCAATTTGTTAGTAATTTATCGTTTGATTAATCAAAACTATTCGCATATAAATGAAATAGATGGAAACAGGAACTTCAAAGATTCAAGGGCAAATACAATAGTCCGTAAAAGTTTCTTGAAGTTTTATTTTACAGCGTTTACAAAGGTTTAGTTATAGCTTGATTTTATCGACTGAGAAATGAAAGTCTCGCAAAACATACAATATTTGCGAGGGATTTTAGAAGGACATGTTGAAAAGAGAAACTTTTTTTCAGGTTGTTAATGAGAGTATTAGATGAAATGCTTTTAAATTGTTGAAACATTTTCAAAAGATCGAAAAGCATTGGTCATCCCAGGATTGTTTGTCGTTCATTACTTAGGCAAAGAATATGTCAAAGCACGCGAGAGTGGGCATACCAGATCAAAAGGACTTCAATTTATCTTCGCGTCATGTATTCAATGCAACACGTGCAATCACTGCAAACAAGACGCGACGCCAACGACTGCATTCATTGAAATGCAATCTAATCCCACGGCACGGCATTAGATTGCCATTAAAACAATGCATCTATTGTCTCGCTGGATTGCATTCGCGTGCAGTGCTAATTGCATGCCCGTGGTTGATTGACAATGGTGGCTTACTATTGGCTAGCTGGTCCTTACACTTGTGGACAATACATGCATACAGCGAGTCGTATAAATAGGACTGCAACGATCAATCGGCATTACAGCATTACATGCAATACTGTACGCAACAAGTGAAAACATCTTCTGAACTAAAAACCAAGGTCACTATGTCTGATAAAGTTCTCAAATCCAAGAAAATCAAGCAGGTAAGACTTTGAGTTATGAGACTTCTACATTTCATCGTGAAGTTATAGTTTTATAAACTTTGAGTGCTGTTTTAGTAGAGTTCTAAACTAAATATCCTTCCTCTCTTGTTCTTTTAAGGCTAACAAGTCGAGCAAACCACTTCTTGAAAGGCAACGCCGAGCAAGAATTAACAACAGTCTTAACGAGCTAAAGCACCTCGTTCTGTCTTCACTTTATCAAGGCGTAAGTAGTTCTAACGTTCATAACTCGGATGCTTATCATAAACGACTTCTCGGAACTTAACACTTAGCGTATCCTCTAAATAACTTTTCTATCTTTCAACAGTGTCCGCAAGCCGAAAAGAACGGCGAAAAGATGGAAAAAGCAGAGATTTTGGAATTGACTGTGAATTTCCTAAAGCTCGCTAAAAGCCGAAGACATTATGGTAAGTGAGAGTCGATTTGTACGCTTGATTGACTTGAGGATTAAGTTAACAAACTTGACCCAAGATTTACAGCTACTTTTCTTGTGGCAAAACTTGACAAACTTCAATTCAAATCAACAAAAAAGGCATAACAAATACATAGTTTAATCATTTTTTTCGCTTTGATTTAAGGTCTTAGAGCAGTTGAGTTAAACCATGGCAAAYTCARTCCATCTCCTCAAGATTACTTTGCCAGAATGGAAAATACCTTGCCACGATGCAGCGAGCAAGTGCTGGCGTCACACGGCGTCCAACCAGTCATTCCTCCTTGCTCAATTGCGAGAGCTACAACGTCTGTTGACAATGAAACTTGCTGTACTGTTCAACCTTGCCTAGGATATCAGATATCGACGTCATATTCGCCGGTTTCTCAGCTTTCAGTTCCATCGCTTTCGACAAGCAAAATGTCTGCGCGGTACCAACCACCAACCCCAACCGCTTCGTATCTTCATGTACGGCCCTCAAGCAAAGTCCAAGTTTGGCGACCGTGGTAAATCAAAAATGTTTTATCAAAAGAATTGCATTTTATACTGATAGCTATGAGAATTTCGTTTATGAAAGATGTGAAAACTTTGTCTCGGAATCAATCTTGTCGTTTGTTTCTGTAAATATTATAGAGTTGTAAATATTATAGAGAATTTTATAATGATCGTAGGAATCAGCTTATAATAACAGTTGATAATTAATTCACTATTTGTAAATATACATTAAAAGAAAGATATATTAAAATAAATAGTTTAAAAGTATTAATCTTGTTAATTATTATTTGTCTACAAATGATGTTACCTATGAAATGCATAAGGATGAAACAGTAAACGTTGCGACTTCTTGAAAGTATATCAAGCGCCAAATATGAAATAATATAATATATTTATTTTTGTTATATACATACTATCCATAAAAAATCTAAAATACTTTGGATACCAACTTGGATAATATTGAGAAGATCATTTTGCCAGATATCTTAAGCATATAATGACCGCAGTATATAATAACCTGTAGTATACTTAGAAATGAAATTCAAACCAGCCATACTGCTGGGCAAAATAATATCTGGTTCATAAAAAAACTTTGTCGTGCGTGAAGGCACAAGGAATATTGAAGCCGTATTCAAAACGTTAAAAGTTCCGGGCAAGCACGTGTCGTTCGGCAATTCAATAGGATTGAATGCTTATAAAATGTCTTTTAATTGTTGAACTGACAAAAGACGATCTGACAAAGGACTTTAAAAGTAATGTCCCTTTGAAACTTGGTCGAATGCTATTAGAACTTGTCTAAAAGTGAACTACGACCTTCGAATTTTATTAAATATATCTTCGCACACGCATTTCCAAATGAAATGGTAACAAAAAGACTTAATTTCATATATATTTTTGTTTTTTTGTGATTTAGTTTCAGGCAAATGTGAACACGAGGGGGAATCTTTTCCATGACGGATTCATGAATATCTTTTATAATGAGCTTTTTTTTCTCGGCAAGCTTAAAAAAAGACGGGTTTTCTGATTAGTTTTAGTCCCACTCAGGTGTTTGAACACTGACGCGAGGCATTCACGCGAAATTTAAAGCCCAGGCTGAACGGCGTGCATTGTATTGTGCCGTGTCTATTGCTATTGCAGGTGCAAACAATGGCAACATAACAGCCACCGGAGCTTAATTACTCTCCTTTAACTATAGGGAAATAGCAAAATTGCTCATATAAAATGCCATGTGAACAATAGTTAAACTCCTACCGGAAAAATCATTGAATTTCGAAAACCATTATGAGTTGATTCTGTGAAACTGAAACTCGCAAAAGGTTCAGGATCATGATCAAACTCAGACAGAAAGTTGTCGGTTCCAAAGATTTAAAAATAAATGCGTCTTATGCTATTTTTATTGCTCTTTGTGAATTAGCAGACACATTTACAAATTAACTTCAAATTATTAAAAAAAGGGTACCTGCCAAAACAAGTCTCTGATCAAGCCCAACAATGTTAGACCGCCGATAGGGGGCAATAACCGTCAAATATATAAAATAAACTTTCAAGCTTTTTTGTCTTGAGCTTAGAGACGGGTTTATTAGCTATCTCAGTAGTTGCATGACATATGTTATCTACTAACATATTTTTTTCGGTATCAAATAGTGCAAAATACCATTAGAATTCCAAAAACATAATGATCTTGTTCTAAATGTAGTAAGAACATATCTGGACGATTAGAAGGGSAAAAAATATCGTACATGAAGCTTTAACAGGCGAATATTCAGACAAAAGATTTATTGTATAATTTCAAGTGCTACGAAAAACCGGGATGCGCATTTCAAAGAACAATAAAGATGGCTATGGGTACAAGTGCGCATGCTCTGGTAAGTAAGTCGTACGACAACCAACTATAACGGAAGAAAATCCCCAATACGTCTTGAGCGTTGCGCGCATTGCCACAAATAAGCTTTATATAAAAAGCCTTTTATTCAAATTGGCTCGAACAGGCCCTAACCGCCACAACGAACACATGTGCTGGATGTAGAGTGCATTCAGTCGAGCACAAAACGTCATTATCGACAGATGTAGATCATCCATTGTAGGGAAGATGATTCGGGATTTCGTCAATAAAAAAAGGTTTTAAAGGCAATCCGTGTCACTTTATAAGCCGCGCCCAGCTTTTGCAAGTGACACCTTTTAGAAGTCATCCCAAAAGATTGCKAGAAATTATTGCTTGGAACATTCCGACTTAATAAAAGCRAATCCTARSATCAAAAATTCTCGTTGTTGGGTGTGCGTGCATTCGTGTCCGTGTATATTACTCGACTTTAAGACCATTGACTTTGAATTGAAACAATTGGCATTTGAAAACGAAAACGTCTCTATGCCATTTGAGCGAGCAACACGTGTATTGTCGAGGCATACGCATAAACGTGCAATCAATCGTCGCGCTCTTGCTAAACAAGTATTGTTCAAGGCTTTTCAAAGGGCTCGCAACGATATGATCTCCCAACAGACGTTCAACAATTCGCGTGCAAAAAGTGTTACTTTCCCCGTGAAAAAACACTGCAGCAATCGATTCTGATTGGTTCGCATAGATTGTGCGTCTGCCATGCCCACAAGAGACCGACTGGATGGCATAAAAATGCATGTATGCAAATGATTTGCTTTTTAAAAGACCGATTCATCTTGGTAAAAGCGAAACTGATTTGGGCGCTGTTTAGCAAGAGTTTTACATGTTATCATGGATGGAAAGATATCTAAAAGAAGGCGGTATCAGGTGAAGAAAATATAGATTGTATAGTGCGGTGGCTTTGTCCAGTAAAGTTTCAAACGTTAAGTCTTTACTTGCAATTTTACTTTTTATAGTCCAACAAATCTATGAAGCACCTTTTGGAAAGGCAAAGGCGAGCCAGAATTAATCACAGTTTGAGCGAGCTGAAGAGCCTGGTTTTATCGGCAATCCACCAAGGGGTCAGTGAATTTTAACATTTACTAGTAAAAACTTATTACTCAGCGCGAAATACATTCTGCCTCAGTTGCTCAAGCAATAGAAGGCAAAATTATTGTAAGTCTTTATTTTTCGGTGTCTTAACACATTTTCAGTAGTTCTTTTTAACTTTTTAAATTTAGTTTCAGTTTTACTATTCACTAAGTTAGTAAAATATATTGAATATATTTTCACGCACCTGTAATTTGTGACTATCCGGCTTCAGGCATAAGAACCCTTAAGAAAAACCTCCTTTGCTCAAATAAATGTGAATATTTCTTAATACTTTAAATATACAGCCATATTGAACATGATTTCTTTATAAAGAAGCCGCCATCGGGTTGAAGAATGGTCAGAAGTCTTAATTTTAAGTTTTCTACTTTTTTATGTTTTATTAGAATCCCCAAGCAGATTTGAATGGCTGCGAGAAGATGGAGAAAGCGGAGATTCTGGAGCTTACAGTGAATTATATAAAATCTATAAACACACGAGGAAATATTGGTGAGTCTGGGAAAAGTCAGCGGCTCCGTTCAAAGCGCCGTTCAAACGTATCCGGATTCAATTCCAAACATCCCTCTTTGTTATTGTTTGCATCAACAAGAAAGTTATAATTATTTTCAAAATGGGTAGACAAGAGTTTCCAAAAATATCCGGCTGTGATATGGACATCGTTCTTGGTTATTCCATCATAACGATAAACCCTAAACCTATATTTCAAAATATATGCAGTTTCGAAAATATCCGGGATATATATACGTGTGAACGTGCAGAAATGTTGCGGTAAATTTACGTCTTTGCGCAAACAAGTCCTTTCTCATTGTACASTAATGTTTAGGTTGTGCATATTCTTATCTCACTACGCAGTAGCTTTATACCGAAGACTCTTGCGTTAGTTTACGTTTATACTTACGTTACGTTTATTGACGATTTACTTTTACCGCCTAATAAAACTCRTGTGATTTCTCGGCACAGTTTATTATTCAAAACTGAGTTTCTGTTACTTTCTGCTTGGTTTAACCTTATATTTATTTGTTGGTTTTTAAACGCCTACTCTTGAATATGATTACGGCTATACGTTTTTCACTTACGTTACGCTATGTTACGTAGGTGATTGGAAGAGGGATTGCACATCACGTAGCAACCCTGGCTGCAATTGCTTCAGCCATAGCGCAAGAAAAGACAAAAGCACCGAAATTCTATGCAGAGATAGCTTACAAAACTACAGAACACGTCGTACCACGTCTTCATCGACAGCAGTGCCTTCCAGCTACCATTGTGCCAACGGAAAAGTGTATTGCACATGCGTCAGCAGTGTCCATTACGAGTTTGCGACGTCGCCATTATCTCCTGAGATGTCTGGTGCTGGTGTAAATTCACAGTATGGCGCACGTGCGCAAGCAGAGAGCATACGTCAATGGAAAAGCCCGCCTACTGGCAGTATTGCTAGCCCAGCACCGTCGACATTGAACAAGGTGTGGCGACCATGGTAGTCAAATTATTAAAAARTAAATAAACACGGAGAAAACATAGAGACAAACGAAAATGATAAAAATAGCACTTAAAACAAAAAAGAGCAAATGAACTCAAGCTAATACTAATTATTAATCGATTTAGTGATGGTTTCCATAAATCCGTGAAACCGAATTAAAGAATACAAATTAGAGTGAAGTCAATCAACCTGTGAAACAAAGTTGGACTATTTAAGTGTGATTGTTAAATGCCACAAAAGAAAACGATGGAATTAGAGCGTCGATTCATGAACGTTGTTCGATCTTGACTTTTTTGCGCTATTTTATGCAAGATTTAGTAACCATTCCTAGAAAACCGGGCCATAGAAAACGTTGATTCAAAAGGAGTTCCGCTATCATTTGTACATTGATTTGTATAAATTAATTGTGAATTTAGRCAATTTCACGGTTTAAATGCCTTCACTCTGATCTATTTCACAGTTTTTTGGACTTTCTTTCTGAAAGGAATAGTTGTATAGTACGTTTTTGCTGGTTAGTAAAGAAAACCTTATGATGATATGAGCTATGGCAACCTCGATGAAATATTAAAAATATAGTTACAGGAGATTTAGTAGTTGGAAGAATTGAAGTAAAAAGTCGTAGGAGTGTCGCTCAAAGAGCACGTAGGTAAATAAAGAATATTGTCAATAGATTAATTAATACACATAATTATTAATTGTAAGTAAATAATGATTAATAATATTAAACCAGGTGTAGAAGTATTTGATGCAAACTAGTGAGCGCGCTTTCCTAAAAAAAACTGATGCAAATGAACCGCGCGCAGCACTCTGATAAGAAAATGTGAAATTCAACTGATTTCTTTTCTTAAAAAAAAACTTTAATTTGAGAAAAAGGTCAGAACAGGGTAAAAACTTCTTGAGGAAGAGCTGCTTTTCTTCCTGTAACCGGAAATGTTACGACCGCGCAATAGAGAAGGCAAACATACAGCTGTTTTTATAGAGAATGCCGACGGGGAGATTGGGAAATCCATGATAGAATGTTAGGTATTATAGGTGCTCAACATGTATGGAAGATCCGCTCGTGCTTTCTTAGACAATCTTTCGGGAATAGATAAAATTCCCCCCAGTAGAAATTGACGCGCACTAAATGAAAATGTGGCTGAAATCGTCTGTCGCCCATGAACAGGTGCGATCAGATCCATGGCTTTCGCGCATTCGACGTCAAAAACATCCTTTTTCATGTTTGCRTTGATCTTAACAAAGGATATACGCTTTTTATTTTAGAATATATATGTATCAAGACGATTGGAAATGAGTAAAACAGTAGGTGGTAACTGCGACCACTTGTCTACACTTTTGTCTCGAGCGATAGATGTTATTGCGTGCAGCAATTAGAGGAAAGATAGGAAGTTAGAAACCGCTATTGACAATGATTAAAAAACAAAAACAAGCTCGTCAAGGAATGGTATTAAAAATAGAGGAAGGGAAGGATGAACGGGAGGAATTAGGAAAAGTAGTTGGACTAAGGACACCAACAAGACTTATAGAAAAAAAGACAAAAACAAAGCAAATAGATGTAAAGAAACAAAAACGATCGATCGATTGAAGTCATTAAACCCGTGAAACAAAACTTAACTAGAGTGGTTTTCATAAACCCGTGAAACAAAAACTATTAGTTAAAGTGTAATAGCCAGACGACAACAAAAGAAAACATGGTATTAGGGTGTACTAAAGTGTATTAAACTAAAGTGTATTTCACGGGTTTATGAAAACCACTCTATTAAAAGTGTGATAGTCAAATAGACACAAAAGAAAAGAATACAATGAGAGCTTTCTAAGGTTTATTATTGCAATATATCTATTTATATTTTTTTACATCACTCTACTGAACAAACTGTTCCACTTTTTATGATAATATTTCCATGTTTGTATTTTTTATTATATATTACTCTTCTAAGCCATACATAATTATATATACCCATTTCCATAATGAACATATAATGTCTTCATTTAAGTCTACTTCTTTCTGGCAAATATATAATAAAATGGAATTCCTGATAAAATATAAGCAAGAGCTATTAAAGAAGGTTTGGGTTTTTCCACAAAGGGAGCAATAACAAGATATAAAGCAACCATTACCATCAGTACTGGAATGATTGTCCATACTTTATAAGGTCTGTGCTTATTTGGCAACTTATAGCGAAGAACGAGAAGGGAAGATATAGTTCCACCGTAGAACAACCAGGCAGCAAAGCTAAAGCAACTTATAAGAGATTCAAGGTTGCTTGGAATCAGAAGAAGAATTGCAATACAAGAAGGGAAAGACACAGCGTATATTGGCATTTTAAGGTGGGAATTGATGGAAGCAAGAAAAGATGGCATGTGGTTTTCTTTCGCAGCTGCACACACAACTTTACTGTTTGTAAAAACAGAACCATTTGCTGCCCCAAAACATGAACAAGCAACAAGCAGAGGCATCACTGCAAGAAAGACAGGATTTAACTTCTCACCAAAAGAAACAGCAACTGCACTTGAAGAAATGATTTCAGCTGGAGTGAGGACGCTCAAGTAAGCTATGTTAACAAGTACATAGCAGAGAGTAACTAATGGAAGAGCCATAAGCATAGCCCTTGGGAGATTCTTTGCAGGATTTTGAAGATCTCCAGCRACATAATTGAGTGCATTCCAACCATCAAAAGCCCAAAGGCCGCTGTAAAATGCATGCACAAGTTGACCTGGATCCCTACTTGTTCCTTTGAAAACGTTTTGAAAATTCTGAGTATGTCCTGTCGCTAGATTATAGGCTCCTATAATGACGACTAAACCAACAGCCAGAAGCTTCATAGATGTGAAGAGAACTTGTGTTTGGGCACCTAATTTAGTACTAATACAATTAATTACAGTCAGAACTATTATACAGATCATTGCTATAAATTTAACTAACAGAGTTGGTTCTTCTGAAGTTTCTTCTGGTAAAAATGGCAGACAAGAATAATAAGCAAATCCCATACATATGATAGCAATAGAGGCTGGCTTTAGCACTAAAATCACTGTCCAACTAACTAAGAAAGCTACCAAGTGTCCATATGCCTCTTTGATGTAGATATACTCTCCTCCAGACTCCTGAATCATTGCTCCTAGCTCACAATAGCACAGGGATCCCAGAAGTGCAATCATACCACAAAGTATCCAAACTACTATCATCATTCCAATGGAACCAGATTTTTCAAGGACGTATCTYGGAGAGACGAATATACCTGACCCAATCATGACGCCAATTATMAGTGCCACGCCTTGAAGAAGTGTAACAGTTTTGACTTCTCKGTCTTTCTTGAATGATCCAGATTTGGACTTAGTCAAWGGAGAATACATTGTGCCTTTTGCTGTTTCTTTTTTGTGTTCTATAATTAAAATGATGTTTCGGTTATGTATCAAATTGAATTATGGGTATTGCGAACACAGAATTATAACTGGGCAGCAGGTGTAATAGGAATTATAAATATGTGCTTGTCTTACAAAAGACACAAGGTGTGTAAAGTCACTTGTCACTGTTTGGTGCACACTTTTTTTATCAGCCAAGCCTCCCCCCTCCCCGTCATCCCTCCTTCCACCTCCCCCTGAATCCACCCTGACTATAAATTAATAACTCAATGTGAAGTAAGGCCCAGAAAATATTTACATTTTTTCATATCAATTATTCTAGTATTCAGCCATGCTGAGGTTCTGAAGAATCKACACTAAATGAAGTGTTCGCATATATGGGCTGCCTGCCAGGTAACTGAAGCTGGAAAAGTTTTTTAAAAGAAGTAAAATGTTTACAAAATCAAGCAATCCCGAAATACTATAGCATTGCCTGGACAGTCTCGTCTTTGACATGGTGTTTACTACAACAACTACTATAAAGTTTTAGCGAGTTAATTTGAAAAAGATTGTCAATATAAGATTACATCGACCTAAAGGTTATTCAACCACAGCATTTTATCAAATTAAAAAAACAACTGACTCCGAAATGAGAGTGAATATCGAAATACCTTTTGCCTTAGATGCTCTATGATGCATTTTGCAATGTGAAATATCCTTATACAATGAGCCCACAATCGCTTTGRCCGGCGTTTATACTATGACACGTCAGTCTTCAGCACTCTCCAGGGGAGGGGTAAATATATCTAATTTGTAAAATGATCTTTCCTTTCTTTCATCTCTGTTCAGACAAAAAAACTTTTCAGAGTAAATATTATGCTGGCTACATATTAAAGATATTTGGAGTTCAAACTCAAATTCATGATATGATTTGTAAAAAAAAGCGAGGGTCTGTTATGATTACTCTTTGTCACGCAAGTAAGTCACGCATTCTTATTTAAAATTGAGAATGCGGAAAGTTTACCTTTGGCAATTAAAATGGAAGAACGTAGAGTCCTCCTTCCTTCTCATAACGAGAGAGCAACCACTAAAAATGAATCTAACAGTAAGGATTTCGATTCCAACGAAAGAAATATTGATGACCATATGGATAATTTAAGTTTGTCTGATTTATCTGAAGTCGAGACAAGTGATAAGGAGAGACTTTTACAATCTGATAACGAGTTAACTATAATGGACCGTTCAAGTCCTACAGTTATTCGTCGTCGCGTTGGACTTCTTCAMGCAGTAGCTTTAGTGGTTGGTCAAATCATTGGATCTGGGATTTTTATTTCTCCAASTATCGTTTTCAAAAATAGCGGTTCTATCGGCTTGACGCTTATCATTTGGACTCTTGGAGGGTTCTTGACAATGTTAGGGACATTGTGTTATTGTGAACTTGGTACAATGATCGAGAAATCAGGCGGGGATTATGTTTATTTGAAAATATCATACGGCAAACTAGCGTCCTTTTTGTACAGCTGGCTAAATGTTTGGTTTATTGATCCAGCATCCTTTGCGATCAAATCCCTGACATTTTCATTGTACTTRACTGCAGCTTTTAAAACCGGTTGTAATGATGTGMYTCTTTTAAAACTGTTAGCTGCTCTATCCATAATATTATTTGCAGCTATAAACTGTGCTAGTGTCTCATTTTCGGCAAAAACTCAAGTGGTTTTCACTGGAGCTAAACTCATTGGAATTCTAATGATTGTTTTTATCGGATTCATSCASTTAATGACAGGAGAGACACAGAATTTCCACAATGCATTCACAAACTCTGTCAGTAGTCCTGGTATGATTGGACATGCCATGTATGCTGTTATGTGGTCTTATGATGGATTTGCCAATCTAAATGTTRTCGCAGAAGAACTTAAAAACCCAGAGAAAAACTTTTTAAGATGCACCTATATCTCTATTCCTTTAATTACTCTATGCTATGTTGCAATCAATATATCTTACTTCACAGTGCTATCGCCAACTGAAATGCTCACTTCCAATGCTGTGGCATTTACATTTGCTGATAAACTGAACCCTGTCTTTGGCATYATAATGCCTATCATAGTTGCAACATCATGCATAGGGAGCATCAATTCCACTGTGTTTGCAGCGTCAAGGGGGTTGTTCTCAATGTCCAGAGAGAATCAGTTCCCAAAGCTTTTCTCATTTGTACACAGAAACACACAGACACCCATTCCGGCAATCCTTYTTCGCTGTGTGCTTGGTCTCCTAATGCTGCTTCCAGCCTCTATTGAACCAATGCTTAACTGTCTACTATTTGTTGAATGGATTTTCTATGGACTCATGTTCCTTGCAGTCCTCTTGTTAAGATGGAAAAAGCCCCACCTGGAACGTCCCTACAAAGTGCCACTTATTATTCCCATTTTGCTACTTCCAATCTCTATTTATTTCATTATCATTCCATTCATTTCAAACCCAGTTGAATCAGTATTGGGATTGACGATTATCGCRGCTGGGATTCCTGTGTATTACGTRTTTTTGGTAAAACAGTGGATTCCTAAGAAGGTATCACGTTTCTTTGGTTATAGTRGCTACRTGGCTCATCTTCTTTGTAATGTAGTAGAGCCAGTTATCCCGAAATCGTTTGTACGATATTGAAGATTTTTAWGTAATTATTGTTCCCACAAATCAAAACTATAGCAAGCACAAACTAAACGATAAAACAGCATTAATATATTATTATTTAATACATATTAGATTCATGTGGAAAAAACGAAAACTGYATAATATTTATCGGAATAGTTTGCATTTATTTATAAAATTTAAGGCAGTAAAAGTTTTTTCTCTTTATTTTGTCAATTTTTTCTTGTTACTCGTGATGCCYGACTGAGCGAAACAAAAACAAAAAAAATCATGCAATAAAGAGTAAACTAAAACAGAAAGGACTTTGCACTCAAGCTYGAGATATAACGTTACACACGGAAAATTTTCTGCGTTCTCTAGCTGCTTAGAATGCTRTYGACAAGACTAACTGATTCCACGTGAGKCAAAAACYCGTCATGCGATTCATCGAGTTGGCCAATCGAGCATTCCATAGACCTTACTAATTGATATATATATATATATTTAACCTGAGAAGTAGGCTTTCATGATGATTAAATGCGCGGGAAAAATTATAACTATTATCAGCTCTCCCTTTCTCTCCCTTTCTCTCCCTTTCTCTCCCTTTCCCTATTTGCGCACTTTCGATTTTATTTGGTGCACGCCGCCTATCAGTTGCGAACTAGTATGTCAGGAAATATTACTGCTTTGCGCAAGTTAATTAAAGTTTTCACAATAGTCTACAGTTTGAAACGATATCTTATTCTGTACCACAAAA